AGTTACTTCTACTTCTTTTTTTTTGAATAATTTTGTAAGGGATCGAATTTGAACCGTTGTCCAAGAGAGTGAAGATGCACTAAAACGTGGTTTGACGCAACTAGACTCGAATACCCAAGTGCAAACAGTTACTTCTACTTAATTTACTTAATCTTACAAATCATTAATTATAATTTCATAATTTAATTAGTATTAAATTATTGATGAGATAACTTATAAGATTTAATCAATTTAAAGTCTTGATATTATATATAAAACCAATTTAACATTTAGCATGATTGAATAGAATAAACCACTACTAAAATCAATGGAACTGTTGGAAGATATCAAGAATATATGGCTCTGCTTCACAACATGCAGTTAATCCAATGCCAATTTATTTATAAATTCAAGATTAGAACAAGAGAAAAGCCAAGTTGTGTAATACAAGTTGATAATTGATTAAGATGATTTCTACCTTTGAAAATGGCGTTATATTAGTTTAAGCAAGTTATTATTTAAAAAAAATACACAGAATAAGCAAAGGAAATGTCCAAACGAGGAACAACATATCTTCCTAGTACCTCGCTTCTCAACTTTAGCACTCATCCGAGGAAGGGAACACTGCAGAGGATTAGTTGGCATCCACAGAAATGTGTCTAAGATTTTTTTAATTTTTTTTTCTATTGTTATGGTGTTTCTAAATTAGTTTTTTTTTGTGTGTGCATATTTTGATATTAATTCTCTTATGTCAAATTTAAAAGTGCACTTTTACATCGACATTGGGAATTAATTTTTTTGAGTGTTGATATCAAAATTTTAATATTAAATATAATCTATCCAACAATATTTATTTATTAATAAATTCATATTGAGTTATAATATGTATAAAAATTATGTTTAAGTTGAATTTAACCTTTTTTTTTTTAAATGGAAATGGGTTGTACTTTTTAAGCTAATAATCAAATAAAATCTCACATAATCTACCCGTTTTTTTAAAGTGAAAATGGGTTGTACTTTTTAAGTTAATAGTGTGGTGTTCTAAGAAGGATAATTTTTTCATATTATTTTTTGATATAATTTTTACATTTAATTAAATAAGTTAATGCATTTAACATCACGAGTATCAAATGAATAAAAAAATTAATTATTTAAATTACACATAAAATTATATTAAAAAGTTATACCAAAAAATTATCTTAATATCATTTTTCAAGCTAATAATCAAAGGAAATCTCACATAAACATTAAACACCGTTATAATCTAAGGCTTAAACTATACAGAATTTTTCATTTAATATCATGATCCAGGCTAAAATACTTAAAAGGACAAAATCAAACTATTTCCTTTTTAAAAACAATAAAATACTCAAACCAAGAAGAGTTTGTTTGACATCACACTCATTAGCTTAAAAATATTAATTTAAAATTAGAAATAAAGATTCAAATCTCTACAATATAGAGTAATTTCCATTCTAATTACGATGGAAATCAATTTCTCAATCCTTTCTTTAGCATCACAGCTTAAAAATTAATTATACAGAGCTTTGCATTTAATACAAAAATGCTATTTAAGGTAAAAACATTTCCCTTTCCCATACTTATAATTAAAATTATAAAACAAAAAAATCCAAATCATAGGGTAATTACCATTTAATTACAATAGAAATCTGTTACGCACGTAGATTTCCTATCCAAACGTTTGGGGTTGTTTTTCCACGTTATTTTCTCACACAACACTTAATTTATTATAATTAAATTAATTTTAACTAATATTTTATATAATTTAGTAATCATATTAATGTATAACATTATTTTAAAAGTAATTGCTGAGAACACTTAAATAATTCAATAGTAATTTATTTTTATTAAAAATAAAATATTCTGATTATGAGATAAATAACATTCAAGTAAGGTATATAAGGTAAGAGATAAAAAAAAATTACATTTCATTATACAATCAAGATACTCACGGTTTGTTAGTCTGAATGGAAGAAATTCGGTTTCCTTAAATAAAGTTTCGAATTCGAGTTTTGTAAATGGAGAAACAGACGCTGTGAAAGTTTCTTCCTAACAGGGTCCGACACAACTCGATTCTAAATTAATTGAAATCCAATGTGATTATAAGATACCGGAATGTTAATACTAATAAAAAATAATAATAAAAAT